CCGCGGAGCAGGGAGCCCGACGCGGGGCTTGATCCCAGGACCCCGGGATCATGACCCGAGCCAAAGGCAGACACCCAACGACTGAGCCATCCAGGTGCCCCTATTCTGTAATTTTTAAAGCTGATTTCCTCACATCTTTTCGGGGAATTTGTCTGGTTCCTGGTGCGTCTTTTTGCGCTTGAGGGTCATCTCTGCTACAGAAACCTATGTCTGCAGAAATTCGATGTCTGTCCCATTCTGGCCCCTTCCAGTGTCGTGAGATCTGAATGCCCTTTCTGACAAGTACTCTTTCAACTTGTACATTTCACCTTAATTTATGTAGAACTGTCTCCTGGGCACTGGCAAGATTTTATTGTTAATAAAATTGAATTAAAACAGCAACCATGGACACACCATTTACGCTGATGCCCCTGGTACAATGGATTAGAGAGCACAATAAGTTTTCATTGGGAATGATCTCAATGGAACGTTGTTGCCAGTAAAAATTAAGTTTCGTCCTGATCAAAAACAATGGCTGTGTTCCACTGCCCATCTGAGACATTCTTTCCAAATTAATTTGCCTGCTTTGTGCCTCCAGTGAGCGGGAACTTCAGTGGGGAAAAGTTAATGAGGCTGGAAGGCTCCTACAAAGCAGATTCTGTAAAACTTCAGAATCTAGAGATAGAAGCTAACTTTCCATTAAAAAAATGACTTGCTGTTTTGAGCCTTAGAGCATTACGTAACTCTGACCCTGTGGATACCATTACTGTGCCAGGAGTGCAGATTTGGAAGTGATTTATTCAGTGCTTTGTAGGGGAGGGGAGCTCTCCTGACCCCAGATGGAGGGGTCAGGACCGCAGGCTGCCCTGGGGGGCGACAGAGTGGAACCTCACCTCTTCCCTCCACAAGAGACAGTGACTTGTCCAACCCAGTGAACACAGTGGAAGACTTCGGCGTGAGCTCAACCAAAGCCTGCCTGCCACTCAAAACACCTCCCAAATAAATGCCACCTGCAGATTCCGGGTCAATGTTATCCGTTCTCTCTTCCAGACGTGAACCCACCAGGGAGGCTGAGTGCCTTCACTGAGCGCTTCAAAACACAATGCTGAGGATCACAGCCCGCTGGCAACATGACCTTGCCTCAGTTTCCTCTGAGGTGGTCTTGAGGACCACCACCAAGTGACCGGCATGGTGCTTGACACACAGGATACTAAAAATACTATCATATGATCCTTCACAAACTGGCCCTTGTACACTAAGGGCAAAGAGACACCAAAGAAAGAGGCAGACCACTCCAGATGGGTAGGCGGCAGCCGTAAACAAGCAAGGGAAGTTACTAATGAGGCTTGTCCTGGGCAGTGGCAAGACAAGTAGATCTCCACCCCGGAACCTTAAAAGTTCAGAGAGACCTTCACCGGGTTCCGTCACAGAAGCCCTCCAGATGATCTGAACAACTCCTTCCTCTCTCAGCACTACCTCCTTGAAATGGCTGCTAGGGCCGAAATAGTAGGCGAAATGTACAGGGGAGAGGTGAGGCGCCTCCCATTGCCCTGGTCCAGCCTGCGGGAGGTCACGTTCTCTGGATAACCTCCTCCCACACCTATGGCAATCACTGCTGAGTTCTGGCTCTGCACCATGACGGACACACAATAAATGGCAGCCAGTTTTAGCCATCTTCAACCTCGGAGGCTCTCCTCCTGCTCAACTCTGTGCAAGCAAAGGGACCATGGCAGGCAAATGGGGGTCTAGGTATAGGATCAGCCCACCAATAAAGAACCCAAAAGGAAGCAAGGGGAAAGGTTATCTACATCTGCTCTTGCCTTATGTAGGCATGTCACTTCTACGAAGTTCTCTATCTTGGCTATTTAGTTAAGGACTTTAAAAGGTGTTTGAGGGGGTCTCTGTATGGATTTTCTTTCTAATCTTCAACTGTCCTGCAATGGGAAGGTGGCAAGACGTTTTCCCAGAAAGCTAGAAATTGAGCTTGTGCACTTGTTCTCATCACTCCCTGCCAGAAGCTTTGGCCCTAGTACCAAGGCCACTGACAGGTGCAACCCTGGCTTGTTTTGACATACCCTTTCCTTGATGTGGGCATAGCAATGAGCCCGACATCAAAGGCTGACTCAGATGCCCACCGCCTGCGTGGTTAAACATTACCCAGTGGTCCTCATCAAAGCTTTGCTTTGAGACCTCATCCCTGCTTAACTCAGATGAGCAAGGTCAACCTTCTTCCAACAACGGATTGCCCTCTGGCTCCTGGAAGGGGCATCTAGAACTGTGCTTTCATAGCCGCTGTCTCCCAGGCCAGAAGGCACGAACTGGCTGCTGACGAGACAGAAAGGGCCCAGCAAGCCAGTGTACATGATCACATCGTTTGTTGCACTGACACATGAAAATTGGGTTCCTTCTTATAAAAACAGATTTCAGACAAAATTGATTTTTTTAACTCAGAGGCTCCAGCAACAATACCAGGACCATCTGATAAGGGGTGGGAGGCAAGGAAGAGCTGGAGAAGGTGGAGTTCTGATGGAGACAGAAGACCAGAGCGCCAAGGAAGCTAGAAGGGCAGAAGCAGCATCTCACTGAGAGGCCAGGATGCGGTATGGACATCGCAGGGGCTGTGGACAACCAGGAAAAGCCTTCGTATTTGCTGAGGGACATAAGAATTTCACTAGATGTGTGTGTAGAGAAGACAGACTGCCAGTTGTTAAAAAACGGAATAAACAGGACTAAAATGAGTGGGCAGAACTGAACATTAAGAGATTAGCCTTCAAAATGAACATCCACTTAGAGTGAGTGGTTGTAAAAAATTGAATTTTGTATGATAAAGGGAAGGTCACGTTTGGCCGCAGCAAGAGAGTTGCTAATGCAAAGAAAGAAATGAATGCACCAGAGGGCAAGGACATAGTCCTGGCAACGATCTTCCAGAGCAAACCAGAGGGGGGAAAGTACAAAGTTCAGATAGAGGGTCTGGTGGAGAACAGATGGGATGGTCTTGAATGTCAGGTTCACAGCCATGTTACGTACCCAAACGACATGGACAGCATGGCCAGGCACCTGTTCGCTCCCTTTCCAGAGGGCACACTCTTCTTGAGAAGGCTGCATTTGTGTGATTTCAAAGGAGCCACAGAAAATAGTGCTGTAAGAAAATACTTGCCTTACTTGTCAAAAAAGTCAACTAATATTTTTTGGGCGACTATTATGAACTGGTGGGAAAAAAGCTAACACTTCAGTACATAAAAATAGGAGAGAAGCACCAAGTTTAAAGGAATCTTGACAAAAACTCAAAGTGTATCTCTGTAATGTGAATATTTACTAAGGAGAGCAAATGCTTGATCAAATTTGGAGAGCTATGGATCAGTAATAAAACCATGCACTGCAGGCTCATACATTTATGTAAGATTATTTCCTATAAGCATTTTAATAAAGTTCTATGTAAAGTCAAACAAGAACAATTGTTTGTCTAATGAATTGTGTCAGGAACTTTTAACTACAAATGCAAGACATCAAGAATATATTCATTTTTGATTTATTAAAACAAAACTACACTTCTGTGCTTCTTACAATACATTAACAGGCATAAAAATCAATCAACATTTCCAAATAAGTTTCGCTCACAAAATCACGCAGTATTATTTCACAGTACTTTATAGTAATTCTTTTTACAACAATTTAACATTTCTTTGTACAACAGGAAAATAACACCTTCCATCAAGGCATTTCAGAGCTTTAGATGTTTAGAAATAAAGTCAAAATTCTTTCAAATGCAATCATTAGTTTGTATTAAACTAGAACGCCAGATGCCAAGTCTCAAGTTCCTAAAAAGAGTGTTTTAAAAAACAGATTTACATCCAAATTAAGTCTTATAAACTTCAATGATTGGTCTTACCATTTCTAAACACTAGAACTATCTGTGGATAAAAATCTGCAGTCGGTTGTGCGGTATTTTCTTCTAGATCTGAATTAAAACCTTAATTATTTACCCCAGTTAATCCTTGTGTTAATTTTATTACTTTCAGGGAAAAACCCAGGATCACAGACAGCTGATCTCTCCATCAAAGGAAAGAGACCTGACCGCCTATATTAGTTTTCTGTGCTTATCGTCTCGGGGGGCGGGGGGGTGGGCATACATCCACTAACTGTAACAGGTGATTGTACAAAATGCATGCAAGTTCTGCCTCCATGTCATCTCGTATTGTTTTGTCCCCTTAAAAAACTACCTAATGTAGTGTTTCCCAAAATGTTTTCCATGGCATACTAGTGAGAGGCTCATAGGGATACCAAGGGGGACAGAGGTCCTAGAGTGACAACAGTTTGGAAATGCTGGGTTAAACAGGCTTGGGACTGGCACGCCCTGAGCCCACGCCATGCCAGAGTGCACTGTTGAGTTTCTGAAAAAGAGGATCCACGTACACATTTATCGTACCAGCGACACGTCTTCTACAAAACACCTATGAACATCTCACAGAGCACAGAGATTGCATGGAGAACCATGGGAAATGCTTTTCCCCTTCAGGTGCCTAAAAGTTCCACAATCTGAGTTTACATTCATGGCAATCCCTGATGTATTTTTTCCACTCATCCTCGTGACTTCGAGAGACTGAACAGATCTGAGAAGGAAGACCTGGGAGTGCTTTCCCTGTTACTACTAGTTCTATGCGTCTCACACAAGTTCCTTCCCTTTGCTTTTCTTGAAATTAAGGGAGCAAAAAATCCTTCCTCTTTTCTGAAATCACTTAGGACATTCTCGGTTGGAAAGCGTGCAGATTCATATTGCTTATTATTGGATTTTGTTTTTTAATTTGACTCACAGTCTTCCCCTGGAGGGCATGCATTTCAGTTTTAGAGAAATGCAGGAGAGTAAACTGTAGTAAATTATTTACAAGCACCTAGTTTGTATCATCTTACACGGAAGCCATTCGCTTTTGGAAAACAGTGAGAATAAATCTTTAAGCAAAAACAGTGCTATCTGGAAGCCTGACTGTGATGACATATATTTGTTTTTCAGTAATGAGGCACTGAAGAATGAGTTGTGCTAAAATTAACCCCGGGTCAGCTTGTCTGGATGAGCATCACTTTGGTTGAGATTTTTCTTCCTTAAAAAAGGTTTTCAAAGCACCAGTTAATTACAAAAAGCATGCATATTTATTCTCACAGTGAGTTAAGTTGCGAGAGAGCTAGCAAATCATACATTGCATTCCCCAAAGCATCTGATGATATTTCTAGAAAACAACTGGAAAGGAAGATGAAGCCAGGGCAGCCACCGTGCCCTGCTCAGGCTGACTCGGCAGCAGCACTTAGCGGAAGCCACGGGCGGGGCAGTCCCAACCTTGACTTTCCAGGTAACTGAGAGAGTGCTCGGGCAATCCTAGATCTATAATTGAGAGAGAGAATGAGCAAGACTCGTGCAGTGACTGCCCGCCTGGAAAAGGAACACCCACGGGGATAACGAAGTCTCCCTGGACGTCCCCCACGTGCAGGGCTCCGGCCAACAGAACTGCTCCTCTGTCCCCGTGAGTGCAAGGAGCGCCACCACGCGGAGACCCTGTCCACGCCGGAGCCGCGATAACACTGACAATGGCTTAAGGGTACGTGAGTTCCTATAGAGAAGAGAGAGATCTTAAACATGGAATTTGAGAAGACTAGAAAAAGCTCACAACAGCACAGCATTATTGCTATGAGTTTCAAACGAGATCTTTCATACGACATGAAATACCGATCAGTCCCCCTCCTTCTCCCGACACACACAGCACATTCATGGGCTACCATTAGTGTTTCAAGTCCAAGCTTATAAAAGTACAAACTTAATTCTCAGTACTTTCAAATTCAAAGTCTATATGCAATATTCATCAGGAAAAATTCCTAATTCCATAATACCATGGAGAGAAGGAACAACAAGCTATTAGAAAATGCTTTAATATCACATGATCTTTATGAAATCACCGTAATTATCACAATGAACAGTTATGCTCCCTCCTCCTAAGAAGGCACCTACCCATTATGAACAGACAATTTTTCATAATAACCGCTACGTGACATCAGGGTTTAGGCATATAACCCATACATATTTGTTAAAAACCATGGTTTTTCCTCACAGCTAAAAATCCGTAACTGCCTCCAGCCACTGAGCAGTCCACAGGGCTCCCACATATATGGCTACACGGGTTGTAGACCACACAACTTGAGCGGGCACCAGTCCCATGGACTGGGTGCAGTGCACAAGCTATACACAGTACATGAGAGCCCTGGGTCAGCAGCCTCCAGCCGCAGCACTCTCCGCTCACACAGTCTATCAGGCCAAGCTAATCGTTAGGACAGTTGCTGTTTGGCTGGAGAATCTCCAAGACACAGCTGTACCTGGGAGAGGCAGGTGCCACCTGAGGGGTGGGAAGGGGTACAGACATAAAACAGGAGTCGTTCCTAAATACTTGCTGGTCATTTAAAACTCAATGGCACTTTTTTATATGAGCAAAAGTTCAAAGTCAGTGTTCTGGCCAAGTTTACCTTGAATTTTGCCGGCCAAATTTACCTCCTGATGTCGACTTTTTGATCACATTAGCTCTATTTCTGACCTAAACTAATATTGTGTTTTCATGTAGCTCTTCAAACACTTTCTAAATCTGACCGCAAAGGACAGCACAGTGATACCTGGGTGTGATACAGATCAGCCCATTCATTTGTAAAGCACTTTGGGATGAAAGGTGTCCCCTTTAAAATTTAGCTACTATTGGCAAAGATAAAACTGAAAAAACAAAAACAAAAACAAAACAGTGAACGGATGATTCAATTATGTTTAAAGGAAGCATTAACCATTAATCAGAAAATATACCGACAAATTATCCGACAGTATTAAGAATACTTTATAAGATTCGGTTCTAGAATGAATCTACATTTTTGTGCCCATCACAGTAATTTAGTCCTTAACGGTTATACTTAAAAGGGAAATCTTTAATAAACTCCAGAATAACTTTCTGAGATTTCACTGTGTCATCTACTGACGATGCATTGCAAGCAGAAGCCGGGGGGCCCCCAAGCGTCACGCGGAGGCTGCCGTGTCATCTCGGAGTAGGGGTTAGCACAGCCCCGTGGAGGGGAAGGCACTTGTCTTCCAGCACGTCACAGCAGGACAGGCCAAGCCTGCCCACACGCCAGCACCTTCAGCTCTCGAGCCAGAGGCTGGAGCCTACGAGGGACTCGTCCAATGCCCTCCACTTGCCAGAGGTGCCAGGAGTAACCTACAGCACCACAAAACTCAGAATGTACTCGAGGAGTTTCTGCCGGTTGCACTGAGGTAGAAACGTGCTGCTGAGTTCTAAAACAGACACTCTCTTTTGTTTGGTCTCTTTGAAAACCTAGAGAGAAAGTTGAAATTAAAGACAAACCAAAACAAGAAGATATTTCTGCCACCAACCCTGACCTGTGTCCTAGACCCCAAAAGGCAGTCAAGGCACATAAAACCGTATCCTGGCTTTAAGTAAACAGACATGTGGGTGTTCACGAGTAGGGTTACGGATGCAGGTGTGGTGTTTTTATGAGTCCAATCAGCGTATTGTACTTTAAAATCTGTGTTAGAACAAAGTCACAAAGAGTCCCTTACAAAGGCCATTAGTACCCCCACGGAACTCCTGTCCCATAGGACACATGGAGTACAATACACTGGAGGAAACTTCCAGCAATACTGGTAGAAATACAGTAAGTGAAAATCATATGACATAACTAACATCCCTGCCGAAAACTGCAGTAGCATGTCAAAACACACTGCGACCTGTTATATGTAAACGGTTTGGGGATGAAGGTGAAAACCAGGAAAATTCTGGAACATTCAAATAAATCTGTACTGATGGGCCTCACCTTCAACATGCCCGTCCCCTTTCCAATCCCCAGAAATGTGCTCATGATCAGTCCAGCAGAAACTGCTTGTCTCAGGGCCCGCCCCAAATGCAGGTGGCTCAAACAGACGAGATCTGAGCAGAGCGAGAAGGTAACACACGCCTTCCTACCATAAGCGGTGGGGACTCACCCCAATATCCTTAAACATTTTCACAGCATTCTTCACGAGGCAGTAAGTGGCGCTCTCAGCTGCAGGGAAAGCATAAGACCTTGTCAAAAGCTGATGCCCGGCAAACACGGAAACCCCAACATCTACAGTAACAAAGTGTGGGAGGCCCTGGATAGGGTTTGAGCAAGTCGGCAGACTCGGGTCCAGCTTCACTCCTGCCACCAGCAACCTGGGAGGTCTCACAGGACTTGCTGTTTCTTTAAACCTATTCTGTCATCTTTTAAGGCAAAAAAGAGCAAGAAGAAAAGAGAGAAAGAGGAAGGGAGGGAACGGGAGAAAGGAAGAGAAGGAGAAACACCTACAACATCCATCTCGGCGGGTTTTTGAGAGAAGCGAACAAGACAGTGGGTAGAAATTCTGTTCAACTGCAAAGTGATGCACAGACGAGTCCTGTATCAGTGGAACCAGAAAGAGCACGAATCTTGAGGTCGGAAAAAGAGTGCTGAACCCACGTGTGCCCATTAACTGGCTATGTGATCTACGATAGTTTCCTCATCTATAAAGTGGGTGACTATCTCCAGATATCTACCTATCTGGAGAGAAATATAGAACCATATAGGTCTACATGGATATGGAGAGATGTCTAGAGGGAAATTATCTCTAGAGCCCGTCTGGCTCTAAAAAGTCTGGATTCCAAGCGGTTTTGGTCCTAAGCCATCACCGTATAAAACACTGCTCCCACCCCAGTCGCACCTCTTATCACGACCAAGCAAGGGCTGGAGGTGGAGCCCCAGAAACACGCCGCAGCCGGAGTGCAGACGGGCACCCCCCGCCCCCAGGAACCACCGGCGGGGCCCACGGAGGCTCTGACAGGCAACACTACGCCTACACGCAGATAGGTTCGCGCCGACGCCTTCAAACACACTCATGGCAGCCCCAGTCACGGCAGCTCTCAAGCGCAGACACCCAACTCTCCCTCAGTGATGGGCATGAATAAAATGCAGTGGATATTTATGTGTGGGAACACTATAAAGCAACAAGAATAAACAAACAACCACATGCACGAACACGTAGGACTCTCACTTATGTTAAGTGAAAAAAGCCACACACAAGAGTATAGAACCGTATCGTCCCATTTACAGAACATCCCGAAACAGACAACAGGAATCTATGAAGTCAGAGGTCAGGAAAATTTTGCATTTCTTCCCTACGGTCTACAAGCAGCAGATTCCTGTCATCAAAAAGGCAGAGTTTTTAAAAGAAGCCGAAGCAGCGACAGGCCTACCATATACAGCAACACTTCTTTCCGTTCTGGTGATCAGGTATTTGTGCAACTTTTGCAGGTACTCAGGCTCGGGAACCGGGCCACTGAAGTTGTGGATGAAGATGGCGGCGGAGCTGTAGGCCTCCAGCGAAGGCCCGAGGAGCCTCTGCAAGAAGGTGACGAACTGCTGGTGCTCCTTGGACTGGCTCACCTGGGAGTGCAAGAGCGGGGAATGAGACCACGGAGAAGGGGGGAGAACAAGCACGCTGACACAGCAACTCCCGCAGAGGCCGGACCTGGGGCAGACGGAAGCAGCCCGCCGCTCCATGGGCACAGGCCCTCTGCTGAAAAGGACTCTGGCTTTGAAATGGGCCCTGTACGGGGGTCATTGTTTTGTACAGTATCTGAGGTTTGCATTTACTGGACAGCTGCCTGGAAGAAACTGGCATACTTGACTGACATATCGTCACCACTGAGCATAGCTGGTCCCCAGGCTGGACCCCGCCCCGCCCCGGGTTTTGCTCAAGTGTGAAAGAGGGCACATGGCAAGACACCAAGGTCACCTCAGTCCTCCCCGGCCCTCACTTCCTGCCACCCCACGTGGCCTCTGGCCCACAATCTGGCACAGTGGGGAGTGGCAGTCGTGGTGATGGGGTGCTGGGTGGCAGAGGGGGCTCTCACTGCCCCATCTCACAGCTGATCGCACCCAAAAAGGCCAGGCGGACTCTCCAGAAGTCACATGTCCTGACTGTGTGTGTGTAAATCAGGGGTGTTCTAGAGTAATCCATTTAAGGTATTAGGAAAAATGGGTCATTATTAACTTATAAAATTACAAATCAGGGACAATCTATCTTTTAAACATCTCAAGTTTCTCCTATGATGAGATTTGTTTTAATTGAAGGCAAAGGGCTCAAGGTAAGAAATTTGGGGAGGACTGGCAAGACTGAGCAGCACTCCGAAAGAGCCACCGGGCGTGGTAGCTGAGGAGTGATCTCTCCACCATCCTGGGCCCGCGCTGCCTGGTCTTGCTGGTGACTGAACACAGTCCTGCCTCTTCAGGAGGGAATGCCAGGTGTGGGCAAATAGGTTTGCACCCTGGGCATTGTGAGGAGAGGGTCAGGAAGGGTCTCACTCACGATGTTCATCTTCCCGAATTTGCACTTTTGCTTCCTTTTCCGTTACCTGCACCCAAACTGAGCAATTGGGGGTATTCGCTCACCTCTAACATTTGAGTGTCTTTATTAGGCAGAAAGGGCCACAGCTGGCTTATGGATGCCAGAAATGGGAATAAGTCAGCGGAGGCTCAGTTTCTAAGAACCTCATTAACTAGGGGCAACAAAAACCTCAACTCCTCCCTGTAACGTCCACCAGAATTCTTCACCGAAGTACCTTCAGGTAGCAATCTCGCTGCTCCTCACCAAAATCACTGTCTTCGTCTTCTTCATCACTTCTCCAAGACAAAGGCTCAGGAAGTTTCTTGTCCCACTGCTGCTCAGCAAGACCAGGACTAATATCTTCCTGGTCATCTTGCTATGCCAAAGAGATGGCGAACAGGAAATAAACATGCATGGGCACACGGACATCTGCGTGCCTGGATGGCAGGCCAGCAGCCCCTCTCCCTGCCTCCCTACTCCTCTCCGTTAGCCACTGAGTGTCAACCCACCTCCGGCTCCAAACTCGGAGTCACTCGGGAGACAGTGGGGAAGGAAAGAAGGAAAGGAAGAGGCAGCGGGGGGAAGCTACCAGACAGAGCAAATAAAGATATCCTCACCTCCTCTAAACTAATACCTACTTTCCCAGGCCATACCCGCTACACTAAATCGACAAAAATTAAAATCTCAAAAGAGAAAAATGTGTGTGTGCAAGCTACAAGCAGGCGCATATGTGAAGCATCTCCTCTTGGAATGAAAACTTTCAGGTATCATGGAGTCAAGATATGTTCTAGACAACACCAGTTACACAAAAGAAACCAAAATATTAAAAACAATCCCAAAAGATGTTTTACTCTCCCTTTTCTTACTTTTCTCTTCATGTGGACTTGACTACATATCAAATGTAATTATTGTCTAAAATAATCGGTTGTAACACTGGTTAAAATAATTGGTAGAAAAGATAAGGAAGAGCAAACTAAATAAAGGCAAACGAAGGAAAGCCATTCCTCTTACCTCTGCCACTACGAGAATGCCATACTGGATAAACCTTCCTACTGTTTCATGGCAAATCTGGTAAAACGTCTGGCAGGGCTGAAAAGAAAAGGCATTTAAATATGAAAGTCACCGACCTTTTTTTTTTTTTAAAGATTTTATTTATTTGAGAGAGGGAAAAAAGCACAAGTGGGGGCAGGGAGGGGCAGAGAGAGAGGGGGAGAAGCAGGCTCCCTGCTGAGCAGGGAGCCCAACATGGGGCTCAATCCCAGGACCCTGGGATCATGACCTGAGTCGAAGGCAGACTCTTAACTGACTGAGCCACCCGGATGCCCCGTCACTGACCTTTTTATAGACAGAAAACACTGTACAAAGTAACTGCCAAATGCTTCCAATATCAACTACCTCGTCCTACTGGGCAAGTCCTAAGATTCCCAACGCCCACCCTCTTGATAAACGCATGGTCAAGGGCAATGCCCAAGAAAAGCCCTCATTCTGTGTCTGGCAGAGCACCCAGTGAGTGGGTGGAGCCGGTCCTCAGAAGGGCTGCTCGTCAGGCCCCTACCACCGATTTCTTGTCCATCATAAGACAATTTCCCTGCAAATGCACCTTACGGTAAACGCTGTACAGAGAGGTGGTGGAGGAGGAGACAAATATTCAAATAACTCAAAAATGACCCAGGAAAAGGACACAGTCAATCTTGGGAGTTCTATCCACCCCATCCCATCCCGCCCTGTCCCCCAAGGTTCATGCAAAACAGATTCCCCAACAGGGCGACAATACACCATATGCAAAGAACGCTGTGAAGGGCCATACTCAGAATACAAGTACACACAAATGTCCCAGGACACATTCAGATGAGTGCGAGTATTAGACTTTAAATAGAATAGGGATACTATTTGTTGATGATTTTGAGGAAAAAGAATCTATTGTTGAATACCTATGCCTCATTATGAATGTAAAAGTGCTTGAATATAACATAAATGCTCATCAGTCCTGCTGGGTCTTAGTTTTCCCATTTGTAAAATGCCAGGGGTTGAAGAGATGATTTTTTTTTTTTTTTTTAAAGATTTTATTT